GTGTGTGTGTGTGTGTGTGTGTGTGTGTGTGTGTGTGTGCGTACGCACGCGCGCGTGATCAGCAATGATTTTAAAATATAATAGAAAGGTTATCATGGTTGTAGCTAAAGAGAGTCCATCATTTATACAAAAAAATCTGAATCTCTCCATGGTGCTAATGCAGTAAGTCGTTTATAGTTATGAACTTATAATTAAGAACTTCCCAGCAAATGAGCTGACGTTATCTATCATCACTTTGACGTCAATATGACGTCTTTAACATCAAAATAGCGATAAATATTTAACATTAGCTTATTTGCTGGATTACTATCGATTATCATGTACAATCTTGGTCAAAAATATTAGGCACTTTATTAACATTATTTAACATTCACGTTCAAAAATTGATTTATGTCGTTTGCTGTTTGAATATGCTTAGCTCATTTTCACTTCATGCATCTTTTACAACTATTTATCGATTGTAAGGGAGGAGGGCGGCTCATTTTTACAAGTGTCTTAAAGCGATCTTATTTTCTCTTTTTTTTTACCCAAATTCTCTTTATTTACAAATGGCATGCAAGAAACTTCAACGTGTCATTCATCACTTATGATGTCAGATTCAATATAGCTATAGCAGCTACTCAGGAGCTTAAGGGGATGCCTGGGTAGCGATCGTGTAACTTTTTGCCTTGAGAGCGGAAATGTGAAGTGAAAATTTTGTGTGTGTGTGTGTGTGTGTGTGTGTGTGTGTGTGTGGGGGGGGGGTGTGTGTGTGTGTGTGTGTGTGTGTGTGTGTGTGTGTGTGTGTGTGTGTGTGTGTGTGTGTGTGTGTGTGATGTGCATACTACGTACATACATAAAAATTTTCACTGTTTCGTTTTAAAGTTAGATGGACTCCCTAAAGTGGCCGAATTATTGAGACATTACGGTCGTATAAAAATCTCCGAATTGACTGAATGGAATCAAAAATCCTTTTACGGGATTAAAATAGACGCAAAATTAGGAGATGGCGTAGTATATACTTTATACTAAAATCGAAAAAAGAGAGAGAGTTAAAAGCTTACTTATTTTTTCAACTCCTAGAGCTGTCACTCGATGTAAATGTTTCCTTAATACAAAAGTTTTACGACTCCTTTGGACAAAACGACATTGCATCATCCGTTGGATTACATGAACGAACAATACTGAGTTTATAAAACTAAGATTAAAAGCTTAAAAAATGATTTTTATTGATCTGCAAATTGCGTGTATACGTATATGCTTAGCGAAGACTCGAAATGGTAAACGAAGCAAAAATCGTGTCTAGTTGGTGCTCGATCTTATAAAAAATGGCGTTGCAATATATTAAATAAGGATAGATGTGTATGATTTTATGCGTTTGAGTGAGACAGAACAATAATGTAAGAAATGAATTTAAAATGTCACTGTTATCGACATTTTTAATTTGAAACCTAAAGTCTCCGATCGACATCGATAAGTTCGGCCGTCACTGCAGCATCGCCCTAATACCGAACGATATAATTTCAGATTAATAAAAAGAATATAGGTGCCTAATTTTGACCAAGGTTATATGTTCTGTTATAATGTTAATATAATGTGCAATATTAATATGTATATCGATATCCCACGCTTCCGTGATAAAAACGTGTTCTATTCGTTAAAACTTATCTGAATGAATACGAGATACGGAATTAAATTTTTCTTATGTCAACGTTATTTTTTCTCACGTTTACTTTCATATTTCACGCAATAAAATCCATAAATCGCGGCGTTATCTTATCGCCGGGATCTCCTGGCACGCGGACCACCGCGACCGCGTACGAATCCGCGACCTCTAGGTTGTTTCATTTGAGGACTATGATTTCGTTCTATCTTCGGTACAGATTTTTCAGATTCGGCATGTTCTTTTTCATCCGCCTCATCGATTAGGTTACCCATTTCAACATCATTGTCATTATCCATATCTGCCCACACTTCATCAACTGAAGGTTTTACATCCTGTGTATTGGTAGCGTTTTCCACAACGGTCTCTTTCATATCCTCCTCCGCTTCGCGATTTTCCTCCTCCTCCGATTCGGCAGCATCAGCTTCCAATGGATCATACTTCTCCTCTCCGTCCGATCTCTTCGGTGTTACGTTTACATTATCAGCACTATTCTCTTGCTGCTCCTTCGGCTTGTCATTATCATCATTTTCATCATGACTAATCTTGCGACGTTTCCAATGTACATCACATTCCTCCTTAACTTCAACATTTTTCTCATTCTGTAAATACAATACGAGAATTTTAGAAGATTTTGAAAACGAATTTTCTTTATTTTGTTTTACGGGATATAATTACTTACGTCAGTTTGTTCAGTTTCTTTCGACTCTGTAGCTGGCACGTTCAATGTTGATGATTTTACTTCTGCCACAAAGTTCCGATAGTGTGTGATGCTGCGTAGATGAGCGTTCATATCTTCAGCCAAGAGCATAAATCTTCGGCAACGCTCGCAATAAAATCCTTGGACCTCCTTGACCATAGATTTACCTGTGTAAATATAATCTCTTGTAAAGATAGTATACGTGTACGAAAGAAATGTGGGTATATTTACTTTTTTTACTTCATCTATATAAATTAAAGTTATAATTCCAATTTCATATAATCCATACCAATAAAGATATGATTTTGACGGCAATATTTGTAAGACGGTATCTTGAGTTTCTTCTCAGTTAAATTTTCTATGATATCCGTGATGTATTCTTGTTCTCCTGAATCCTCTTCTTTTTCGTTCTTTGAATCATGACACAAATCTTTCTCCTCGTCTTCTGCGGTACGAACCTCGGCCTCTCCCTTTGCCAGTTTTTCTACATACAATTTATCAATTAAAAATTCTCTACGAAATATTAATTCGCAAACGTTTTCTTTCATTGGTCTTTCTTCACTACCTTTCTTTTTATTTTTCCGTTGTTCCTCGCATTGAACGGCATTCTTCATATGAGCCGGTGTTAAACAGTGCTCATCATATTCTATGCGAGACGGAAATTCTTTTAAACAAGGAAAGCATCGAGGATGCAAGAATGTTTTCAATTGTTGATGCTTTTCGCTCTTCCTATGTGTAGATAAGGTTCCGTAAAAGTTCAGATCGCACATCGTACAATATTCTCTCACATTGAAATCTACAGAGACCTATAATCAAGAAATTATAAATAAATACAAATACTCTTACTATTAAATCTGTATACACGTATATTCGACTCTTCTAGGAGATATAATTCTTACTTTTTTACCGCGTCGTTTCGAGTTGTTCAAGCTAAGCTCGCGCTGCTCCTCGGCAACTCGTAGCTCGTGTCTCATCAAATCGACTTTCAATTTGTACGATTCATCCAACTTTTCCATCATCAGTTGATGCGCACGTCCGCGTAGATGATTTTCGAAGGACTGCGAAAAAATATAAAAATTAATTAATTCTCGGCGATTATATAGATTTGGTAATTTTATCGATGATGCATACAAATCCGTCCCACATATGTTTATTGCAAATATGACAAAACATATGGTTCATCGGAACATCGGAGTAACGACTTTCAGCGTGTCTAACTTCCGATTTCTTGCTAGTCGTTTTCATGTTCTCTTTTTCAGTTTTCTCAGACGTATCCTTTGCTTCTTTCGAAGAATCTTCAGCGAACTTTTCCACCTTTTTCTCGCTATCGTCCATCTTTTCATCTTCCATTTTTTCAACTTTCACTTCTTCTGCCGTGTTTTTCTCGTCCTTCCAATCGCGCTTCTTATCTTCAGACTCATCTGCATCACTGCTGTTTACATTATAAATAATCTAAGATAAACTCATGTTCCAAGAAAAGTTTTGTAATCGATTTAAACAGCTCTGAGTATATTAAACTTGTTGTGAAAACTTTAACTTCTAATTATATAAATTTAATTATATACTTTGCAAGTCATAATATTTATGTCGATTCATATAAAATCCCTTTACGAATAAAAAAATTACACCGATATAGAAGTGTATAAGAAGATGTAATACATACATCTTATTAGAATCTAAGGTATATTATCACCGATTGGAACAATATAATGTCAAAATACATTTTGATGAATGTACAGGGAGAAGAAATTACGAAAAGCAACAGCAAAATTTTAGACTCACTCTGACCAATGTCCGTGAAATATAAGTTGAATTGCATTGACGATATAGGATAAATATATAAAAAGTAAGATATAGATAAGAGAAAAATTTTTTTCTGAAACTGATACAAAAACATATGTAGCTAACATTAAGAAATGTATATAAAATATATGTATATGTATGTATGTATTTAGGCAAATAATCTGGAGAGACTGAAGACTTACTGAAATTTGAAGAAACTATACCAATCACAGGTAATCGGGAGCTTACCTTTTCGGAACAGGCTGTTCTGCTTTTTCGCTATCAGAGGTCTTAACATCCTGCTGTTCCTTTTTGGCAGTCTGATTTTGTTTAGAGGCAGGAATTGGTTTAGAAGATTTATCGTTGCGATGTTGTATTTGGTTTCCGTTCATACGTTGACTGCCAGACTGGGGTGCACGAGATTGTTGTGCGGATGGGCCACGTCGCCCAGCGGGACCATCTCGGGCTCGATTGCCCATCTAGTTAAGTAGTAGAGGTCAAACGACCAAAAGCATCATGAGAAGTATCTGACGTAACTGTGATTCTTCTCAAATCGAGATACTGGTTCTAGAAACCACTTTGAGATTTGAGGCAGAGAACAGTTCTACAATCGATAAATGGAAACAGGACGGAGCCGGTGAAATACGAACCGAAGCTCTTCCATTTCTATACCAAGTATGGAAGGAAAAGGAGAAAACTGTAGAGTGCATCCCGATTTCAAGTTGAAAACGCATTGTATATATACAGGCGCGATTGCAATGATCATAAGATACGATCATAATTATGAAAAGTAGACGTGATTTTTTACCACTAAAAATACTTGAGTAAAACTTGGTGAATGCTAATAAACGTGAAGAAATCAAGTGAAAAATGCAACTCGTGTATACAAGTGGTAGTATTTTGAATAAAGTGCAACCACATTGATTTTAATATCACATTAGTGGACAGAAGACTTTGGTTACACAGATTGTAATGTGAGGCAATGTACAAATTCGGTCACCTTCAGTGAACTTTCAGTAGTAAATTGAGATTTACATTCTGAAATCAACACGTTTTTCAACAGTGCTCTTTTAATGAAATATTTTTATAGATGATATTTAGAAGCCGTTTCAGACAAAGCTGATTCATCAACAAGAATTATTATATCTTAGTGATTTCGCCAGCCGTGTCTAATTGAGTGAGCGATATATCCTATATAATCGATTGGTTTAAGAAAGGGAATTTATAACGTTCGGAATAGTTAAAGACAGTTTGTGTCCATGCGAGAAAGCGTGGACTACAGAGTGTCATTTTATAACTCCTGTTTACGATACAGAAGAAAATCGTAAGCAGGTGTCAAAAGAATTATCTATTACATTGGTTTGTAAGAAAAAGTGACGTATTCTATAATTGAAACTTCTTACCTTGCTGTATGGCTGAGGACGTTGATTCTTCATGGGATGCCGTGCCGGTCGATCGTTAGATCCGAACCGTCCGGAGGAATAATTCTGCTGATTGGGATAATTTGGTCCTGGTCCAGAATAATTATTTCCCAGGCTCATAAGAGACGGTACCTGCTTTAAGATGAATGAATTAAATGAGTTCAGTACTGGGATTCTCTAACGTCTTACCAGCGATCGTCGCTATGGTTAACTAGCGATAGCCAATGGCCAGGACTATCCTGGAAAGAAGCGTAGCTTTCATTGACTGTTGTTAATTAACAATAGAGACAATCGTTGATAAGACATTAAAGAATTCTGCTACTTTATGCCGGGCATGAAAACTGAATTATCAAGTGGAAACGATTCTTTTACCTGTGGCTGTGCCTCTTGCTGACTACGGAGTAAATTTGTAAGGAGATTGCTGGCGATTGCTAATTGTGCCTGCGGCGATGCCAAGGAGAGATTGTTGTTGGGTGTAGGCAGAATGCCTCTGCCAGGCATCATGCCACCTTCCCAGGGATTCATTCCACCCATACCGCCACTCCCACTTATTCCTCCGCCCATGTTACTTCCCATGCCACTGTTATTGCCAACTCTGTTACCACTGCCTCCGCTAACACCCCGATTGAAAGTTCCTCGATTACCAAAGGAATCTCTTTTCACTCCACGATTATATGCCATTGTGCTCCTAATGCTGACCAACATTTAGAAACAATATATTAATCTTGAATGTATCCTTGTAGAAGCCAATCTATGCAGGATATCCTGCAATGATTTTTGAAAAATTTAGTCTTTTGTTTTATTTCTTTTTTTTTCTTTCTCTTTTATACAAAAATAATAATTATTACAAAATAATCCACAAGAAATATTAAAGTATCTTTTGGATTATTTTGTAATAATTATCTTTATAATTATTGTAATAATTATGTTATGTAGATTCTTTTAATGATTAAATTGTAATAATAAATAAATATACTCTGCATGCATACATTTTGTTTACATAATATGAAATTAATAGAAGTAGGATTCTAAAATAAAGTTTGTTCTCCAAAGCAACGATAAAATAATACACATCACTACATATCACGTGCGTGTGCGTGTGCGTGTGTGTGCGTGTGTACGTGCGTGTGCGTGTGTACGTACGTGCGTGCGTGTATGTAAAAATGAATTTGTTCCATTAAACTATTATTGTTCATAAATAGAAAAATCTCATAATATAAAAAGTAAAAGTACACACGTACTACGAGTGCGATGCGTTATCATGCTCACACTGTAAACATCAGTTCATCCTTGCTATTAAATATTAAACAAGGACAAATGATGCTTATAAGCGCTGTAACCGCAAAACAGAACGAATCTTATTTTGCAACAAAGCGAAACGACGTGGCGGATAATAGATGTCTGACCGAAGCAATTCTAAAATACGATCGATCGTGAAACCCGATTTTTGCATACACGATACTCAGTGAAGGAATCGATAAACAAACTGATTTACCGAGATACTGATTCATGTTACAGTAAAACTTTTTTTAAGTTTTCTTACCAATTTGATGACACTACGCGTGATATGAAGAAAAGCTAACAAGAAAGATCGCATCAAGAGAAACGAAACGCAAACGAACGCAGCGAACGATTGCAAATGGCGGATTTCTCCTCTCCAATTATGAATTGTGGAATTAAAGAAGACTATCCACCATAAAGGTACCTTTAAGGTGCCGTTACATGGGAGCGTCACTAAAGGTACATTTTCACGAGCTGCTTAAACAGGCTGTTTCAGCGACAAAAAGGATCACCTGTTCAAAATTGACGAATATCAAGCGTCCATTTTGATCACCTGACCTATTTTGACGCTGAAAATGAGCGTTGAGAAAAGCAGCATGAAAAGGCACCGTAAAAAAAGGTTCGGAAACTTTCATAGCATTGCAAATAATTATTAAATAGATACATCAAAAATATTACTTAATATTTAATTTTTATATTGATTATAGGGATATTATATATTGTTATTACTTATCACAATTAGATATGTATTAATAAAAAAACCATGTTACATGATGCAGCAGCCAACCAAAACACACACACACACATACACTATGGCCGGTATTCATAGTCGATTCTTATTTCAAGACCGTCTTAAGTAATGTCTTAATACGCTAATGTGGCTCTCTTATTGGTTCGTAACACCTCAAGACTGAACTTGAGATGATCTTGAATATAAGAACTGACTATGAATACCGGCCTATGTATGACTGAGGTCGCTTTGTCGCTTACAGCGCTTGTCAGCATCAATTGTTCTTGTTTAATATTTAATAAACAACAAGGATGAAACAACGTTTAAAGCGTTGTGATCGCCAAAGCGAACACAGCCTAGTATGTATAATACACACACATATTCGTCGCCATTTTAAGAGCACTTCCGCTGAATGTCCAAGCTCTTCACTTATGAGGTTTGTTCGTGTCGCAAGCTCCAACGTGCTCCAACGTGCTCCTACCATAGCTCCTATTCACTCTATCGAGCGCATTGGAGTGAGTAAGAGCTATGATGGGAGCATATTTGAACATGTTGGAGCATGCAATGCGAACAAACCTCTAGGGACTCTAGTGGAGCCGATCCGTGCAGCGCTCTCTGCTATTGGTGTATTCTTTTAGATCATCCAATAGCAGCGAGGTTCATTGATCCGCTCTGCTACAGTTGAGTCTGCTGAACGCGACCATTGGTCGCGTTCAGCAGACTCAACTGTTGTGGAGCGGATCCGTGAGCGCTCACTGCTATTGGTGTATTCTTTTAGATCATCCAATAGCAGCGAGAGCTCATTGATCCGCTCCGCAACAGTTGAGTCTGCTGAACGCGACCATTGCCAGCTAATTTTGATATCAGCCGTATTAGCTTAAGGCCTTCACTCTTCACCCTGTATATAAATCTTTTTTTTCACGCGTCGATCATTTATACTGAACTTTTAGGTAAATATTCACTATTTCTTATTTCATCTTACTAATATTATCTGGCTGTATGCATACATAATTTTTTTAGGGTGCGTTTCGAATTACGCACAAGGCCGCACAAAGCGCATGATGCATCATTTGTCCTCGTTCACCAAAGAATAAAACAGGATAAAATAATACCTTATGCACTTCATGCGTATATATAATTCGTTACGCATCCTTAAAAAGACTACTATACAATTTTCTCATTTGCGAATATTTACGGAAGAGTACTTTTATATTTGTGCAATTTTCTCTGTTATAAAAATTTAAATCTCGTCTTATAAAATACATTCCCATTCATAACTGTTTTGATATTTTTTCTGCGGTCGTGATTATCATTTTGTAATAGAATGAAATTATTAATGTTCTGAGTGGTGCTATTTTGAAGTAATTATTGATATTGTTCATTGTGCACAAGGAACATTGTGCTTATGCTATATTTATAGAGAAAATCAATACTTTTAATTTTTACATACATACACGTCCAATAGAGCTTGTAAGGTTTCTTATGACACACAGTATATTCTTTCTCTTTTAATATATGTGTATGCGATAATGATATAAAAATAATTTTGATTTTTTCAGCAAACGTACCGTGTCTTTAGAAAAAAAGAAAATGAGGAACGGCAGCAAATTGTTAAAAGTTCTTTTACAAGCGTCAGAGAAGGCAGCAAACATTGCTAGAATTTGCCGGCAAAAGGAAGCTCTTTTTCAATTGTTAGTACAAGAAAAATCCTTAGAAGAGAAAAACCCTCGTTTTTTCCAGGATTTCAAAACGTTAGCTGACGTTCTCATTCAAGAAACTATCAGACATGACATAGAAATTGAAGTGAGTATGAAAAGATCTTAAATATGGAAGTACAAAATGCTGGAAAAATATCTTAATTTCACGACTTATTTCCAACGTATCACACAAACTTTTAATTTATTGTCATAAACAGTTTCCAGACTTGGCCAAATTAGTACAAGGTGAAGAAACCAATGTATTCAGTAATACCTTGGGGGAGTCTATTATCGTTGAAATCTGTTCATGTAGCAAAGATACGACACAGCTACTGACAAAAGTTATGGGCAATGATGTTGTGGCAGCAGAGTTGCTTGCTGCCGAAGTCCACAAAGATGTTCAGCTTTCAGATGTGCCAATCACATTAGACATTCCCAATGATTTTGAAGTCAATATAGAAGACCTTGGTATTTGGATAGATCCAATTGGTAAGTGTACAAGCAAGAACAGTAATTCTAAATTATTATATTCGATTGATATTTAGTAAATTTACATTAATTCAGGACAAGACTGAAAAAAATACAAAAGTTGGACAGTATTATGGTAAAGCTTAAAGCTATGTCTCTCTTATTAAGAATCATAATTGGCCTATAAACTGAGACACAACACTTGTAAGAATTTCTGTTTGTTTTATAGTTTGATAAAATGCATGCCTGTGGAGCAATTCGTGGAACTTTTGTAGATTCAACGGCAGATTACATAAGTGCGATGGAGGCAGTAGATGAACAAACTGGTTTATATTTAAGTGGGTTACGTTGTGTCACTGTCTTAATTGGAGTCTACAAAAAAAGTACTGGAGTACCAGTTTTGGGTGTAGTTAATCAACCTTTTTGCACCAATATAGACTCACAGTAAGTATATAGAATAAAAACAAGATTTAAAAAGAAGACGATTTATTTGAGTACATCACATAAATACAACAAACACCACTTTCGGTTAAAGTTAAATGTTAAACTAATATATATGTATGTATGTATGTATGTATTTTTTAAATAAATTTATCTCAGAAATATGACTGCATGCCGATTACTTTTGGACTATCAATACATTCAATCTGAAATTTTAATTATCCTAAATTTAATAAGAAACATCTAAAACCTGTAAAAAATTTATTGCCTCGGCCGAAGATTAAACCTGGATTTCTAACATTTCATGTGAACGTCCTCATAGTTAGACTACCGAGGCCTTCTTCACAGGTTTTAAGATGCTTCTTATTAAATTTAGGGAAATTATTAATATTTCAGATTGATTGAGTTAAAAATTCAAAAGTAATCGGCGTGCAGTCATATTTCTGAGATAAATCCATTTAAAGAGTACACGCGTATATATTATTAGTTTAATATTTAACTTTGATCAAAAGTGGCGCTTTTCGTATTTAGGTGATGTTAAAACAGTAAACTTTCAATAAAAATTTTCACACGACATATAATATTTTTCTTATTTGGACATCTTCATATATTTTAAAATACATATTTGTTAAGACTAAAAGCAATCCTTTTTGTGTTTGACATAAACATTTACATATTTTTATATTGAAATTATTTAACTAAATAAAAAAATAAATTTAACCAAACAAAAAATATATTTGACCAAATGTAAATTCTCGTTTTATGTTTTCTACTTTATGATATTTTGTATTGATTGGACAGATGGACAGGAAAATGTTACTGGGGTTTTCTGGGAGGTGGCGTCGCAAAGTCTTCCATAAGTAATGGGTGCAACGTCAATAAAATTATTTTACTTAGCCACTTTGAAGACGCAGATGTAAAATCAAAATTATTAAACAGTGGATTCAGATTGGTGGAAGCAACAGGAGCAGGTTATAAGATACTGAGTGTTGCTATTGGACAAGCGGCTGCCTACATCTTGTCGAAAGGTTCCACTTATAAATGGGACACGTGTGGACCACAAGCTCTCCTGTCTTCGGTTGGTGGAAGTATCATTGAATTCAAAGAATTTATTGTGAATCCAGATTCGGACAATCTAAGCGTAAACTATTTACCTATTGGCACAAATTTCTCTAATCGTGCAGGTTTGATAGCATATAGAGATCCTCAAATTTTGGAAACCTTCAAGTGTATTATATGTAAATCTCGTTAATAAGTATGATATCAGATATATTAATGCTAAAGCTTGATATTGTACTTGGAAAACTTTTATGAAAATTACATTACTATTTATGTGTGTGATTATATAAATAAAAATCATATTCTACTCTATAAGTTTCATGCGAAAACTTCTGGATGATGTTTTCATGGCTATTTCTTATACCTATTTTGTGATATATGTGGACTTTAATTCACAATTGTCCTAAATATTTATTATATAGATAATGTATCTAGTAATAAATACATCCACTAATATTATATTTGTTGATTAGAGACAATAGATTATTTGCTAATTGATGTAATTCTAATTGTTAATTATGATATAATAAATGTGAGTCCAAGTAGGAAAGGTCATTTAATTTTTATCAATTACACATTTTTGTTTTTGTGTACAACTATTATATAATATAAAAAAATATATTACGTAATATAAAAAAAATTTGGTTGATCATTTATGTTGAACTTGTATATGATAATTATATTTATATATAGTATAATTATATTTATGCTGTACGGTTTCCTAAAAACAATTTAAATGGACATCTGGTACCATATTTATTTAACAAAATCACGTGCGAGAAGGAAAGGGATCGTGGAAGAGAATACAGCGAGAAGAGAGAGAGAGAGCGCGAATAAGATGGTATATAAAAATGGCTGCGTGAGAACTGCACATATGTAATATACAAGAAGACTAGAGACTAGAGACCAGGAGAGTCAACTCGCGTGGTGGGGGTGAGTCAAAAAACGTCCGCGGCTATTCACACGATGTGCAGCGGCACTGCGCATTGTGTGAAAG